ACCAAATAAGCACAATTCATTTGCCTAATGCAAAAGCATGTTAAGAGGTGAGTTAATCAAGATTTATAGGTATCTATATGTACAGACAAATTCCAGGAGTAGAAAGATTCTTAATCTGGTTGACAGGTATAACAAGATCCAATTGCTAGTTGCTGAAGCTAGACGAAGTCAGGCTAGATGTAAGGGTGAGTTTGTTCATAGTGATGGTAATTAACTTTGGGAAATTTTACCCATGGATATGGTGGATAATCTATCTCTTGCACTCTTTAAATTGACCGACTTTAAAGAGATGCTACAAGTTATGGGCCTGATGTAGGAACCAGAGGGTGAAATTCTGTGTCCTCTGTTATACTCGAGATCACAGGAGGTGATCATTATGGCATGTTCCAACCTGGCATAAGCTAAATCACAGGTCCATAGATTTTATCTTAACCAGTGCAATTGGAGGTGCTAATTCATGTAACTGCCTCATCCTTTTTGAAAATCATGAAACTATTATTTTCAATGCTATATTGCGCTAGTGAATTTTACATCCAGTTTATGTTGCACTAAAAAAGATGACACCACTGTAGCAGAAATAAAAAAGACAAATATACTTAAAATGTCTATGATATTTTATCTTCACTATAAAGAGGAATAGACCCAAGTCTGATTCAAGGAGATGTCAACAAGGAGTAATTTTTCCACTAGCCAGTAATGCTTGTTTAGAAATGGTCTATTTTGTAACCTGTCAAGAGCCTATTCTAGGCTCAGATCAGTCCTCGGCTAGAAGTCAGCTGTTTGAGAGAGAGACCATTGTCCTTTGCAACAGAACTCATTAGAGACTCTGACAGGGAGCCTAAATGAGACTGGCAATGACAGGCTCTGACACAAAGCGATCTGCAGAGAGCCCTGCCTCAGTGAGCAGCTTGGATTGAAACCAAAAGCCTTTTTGCTGCCACAACCTTGCAGGGCCTGACAGAATAATATTTCATTTTGTTCTATTATCTTAACCCCCAAAGGAGGCGCAAATAAAATGCATTAAAGTAGGGGTTTGGTGTGAGCATAGCTGGTCAGTTGTGAGGTGCAAAAAATGTGGATGGCTGATCTAGGAGCTCCCCCAGACAGACCTTTGTCAAAGAACCTTTCATTCGATGCCCTGCTTCTCCCTCCGTGACCCCCTCTCAACTCTGTCCATGCAGTTCAGTGCTTATCTGTAGTGGCAGTCACTGCTACTCCATTCTTCACCTCTGTATTTACTTGCAACCCACCCTGCCTTTCCAGGCTTCGGCACATTGGTGATAACAGTGAATCAGTAAGTTCATCTGTTTTTAAGGCCAGAAGGGACAGTTAGGATCCCCATGCCTGACTTCCTGCATCACATACGCCAATAACTTCTGTGTTACCTTGATTTTTTAATAGCAATGATTGTCAGTTAATGAAGTACTAAATCTGAGGCCTTTCAGAAGTCTGTTACGTTGATATAGACAGACAAGGTTCTTTGGGTAAATCTAATGTCTTTTATTAGACTTTTATCATCCAACATTTAATTCATCAAAAAAAAGATGCCCAATTTGTTTTAGGTGATATATTTTGCATGATTATTACTAGTATTCATTATGCTGTCATACATTAACTAATTTAGATCTAGATATTTCAGTGATGTAGATGATGAATACCCTGATGAAATTCCAGTTGTGTAATGCTCAGAGCAGGGACTGAACGCAGGGCTCTAGTAGTGAAAAACTATTTAACTAATCAAACATCAACCACTGTCTCAGAGTTTTATAATACTTAAATCCAACTTAAAGTACATTTTGAAAGCAGCCGTACATCTTTTTTTAACTTCTAAGTGTTAGTATTAAACAAGTACTAGTTATTCAGGCTTCAGGTATTTCACCTGGGCTCATCTTTCTCCTTGCTATAGCTTCAAGTGATTTCCTTGTGACTGGATGCAAGTGTTGCACTAGGAGCCAGCACTCCTTTGCTTGCTGCTGGTGCACTTCCAAATCTGCTCGTCACCACCCAATGTTTGATGATATGAAGCTCACTGGGTGGAGCACCTAGCATACTAATTGGTTTCCATCCTTTCATTAAGCATCACTATTTTAAGGATTAGGGCTCAATAATGCATGTACACTCCACTCCCTCCAGAGTTGGGATACATGTATCCCTCCCACCCCTCTTACAATCAGTGAAGTACAGAGAAACCCTTACAGAGCTTCTTATAATGAGCTTCTTGTGAAATCTGAGGAAGGTGAACTTCAAAAGGCCATTTTATAAAATAGATGTTTGCAATGGATATTGTGTAGCGATTTCATGATTTCAGAGATGAATATGTAGTCCTGTCTCTTCATATGTTTGTGGAAGTCACTAAACTACCAACTTCTGGAACCAGCTTCCAAGAGAAGTGGTGCTGGCTCCTACCCTGGGGGTCTTTAAGAGGAGGCTAGATGTACACCCTGCTGGGGTCGTTTGACCCCAGTACTCTTACCTGCCATGGCAGGGGGTCAGACTAGATGATCTACTCAGGTCCCTTCTGACCCTAGAAACTATGAAACTATGAAACCATCCATGGGCAGCCTTTATCCCCACAATAGATTCATCCTGGATTCTCTGTCTCATCAGTCTTCCATACCTGCACTGAAACCACAAATTTCCTTCATGGAAGCTGCTAAACAGCCTCTGTCTGGAAACAAAATTTTGGTCATTAGCATGGGTGTATGAAAAGTACAAGAGACAGGTAGGGACCTCCTTTAAATAAGCATGAGCTATGAATAGTCTTGCATTAAACCTTACATTCTTGAGCCTTGCAATCCCGACATGGGATACCGAGCAGAAAACTATTGGAGCATGACAAGACAATGGCAAGAAACTGATAAAAACATGAGTCTCCTTTTGTATCTGTCTTTCAGACGAGATGGGATAATTAAGAGAAAAATCTCTTACTCTATATTCTATGAAGCAGTAAAACAGATGCTGAGAGTAAATGATTATTGGATATGAATGATTATGATATTTAAACTGTTGCAAAAGCTGTGATTTTGCTCAAGTGCTGTGATGCCAGAAAAACTGCTGCTGTATACAGTGCACTGGAGGCCTGTGATTATTTCTTTTCACAATAAAATTGGGAAAGTGTTGCACAGCCTGAACCACAAAGGGAACATTGAGCATAAGATACTGGACTTGTATAAAGCAACTGATCAACCAGGATACAGTGATAGTCTACCACACTTATGCCATGTTTTACATAAGGATCCCAAAAGTATTTCCCAAAAGTATTTCACCATTTTACATATATGGTGACTGAGGCTCAAAGAGGTGAAGTGATTTGCTAAGGTGCCTTGAGTCCATGAAAGATCTGTGAAAAGAACCCAGAATTGATTGTTTTTTACTGGACAAGGCATTGTCTGACTGTTGGTGAACCAATCTAATATGATGATTGTTTGCAGTTGGATCTTTAGAGAAAGAGGGTGCTTAGCATCTGAAGAAAGGCTTAAGTGGAGAGGGCAGAAAGTTTGTTGTCTATGCATGAGTGGGATGCGGTAGGCTGACGTATGTATGGTTGTCTTGAAAAATCTCCATGCTGCCACGGGAGTGCACTCTGCTTAATTGCAGAACCAGAACAAAGAGCAGTTTGCAATCTATCTGCATGTTCTGTCCCCATTGGTAATATAAGGAGAGCTACAATGGATCATGAACAGATTTTGGGACCCAAGGCTTATGTGATATCTCACATATATAATAATCTAGTTCTCTGCTTATTCCTTAGGCAGCACTAAATAATAAGCACCTAATTATTATTATGATTACACTTGGCATTTTTAATAATGATAATTGGAGGATGTCGATGGCCTCTTTTTAGGATCTTATATCTGGCCTGAAGTTCCCATCATTAAGTGCTGACTGAGGAAAGAATTACATAGCGAGAACAGGGTTTATTTTCCACTTCCCAGATGCTTGCCAGGCTCAAGGATGAATGCTGACGATGTCCCCATAGTGGGGAGGCAGATCCTTCTCCCAATATATACATATATATATATATATATATATACCTCAGTGACTCACCATAGGTTTTCATCATAGCACATTCAGGCTACTGGAGAAGCTAATGAAACAGAGCAAGTTTTCTTTGATCATCCATTTAAAGCTATCTAATGTCTGGTTGCATAACTATGGGGCGTGAGCGGGGTATCAGCCCCAGGTACCAGCTTACGAGGGGCACAAAAATAGCAGTCATTGCCAGCCTGCTGCTACTGGCCCCCCTGGCCCAGCCACTGCCACTGCAACGGTCCTGTGCACTTCTACCACTACCCACAGCATAAAACTGTCTGGCTATGCCTCTGCTTATACCTAACATTGCCATAACATGTTCTGAACAAAACCTGGCCATTTAAAGAGGCAGTGTGGACTTGTGTTTAGGGGTCACCAGATGTCACTGTT